CATTCTGTGTGAGTAAAGATTTTGTAATAAGGTATTGGTGATCTGAATTCTCTAGGATCTATAGTGATTTCCTGCTTTTCGTTCTTTATTGTATGAATTTGAGTTTTTTCTTTACTTTTTTTGATTAGGTTAGCTAGGGGGTTATCAATCTCATTTATTCTTTTAAAGAACCAACTTTTTGATTCATTTATTGTTAGAATTGTTTTCTTTATCCCTGTTTCATTAATTTCTGCTCTAATGTTTATAATTTCTTACTTTCTTTGGGCTTTGGGCTTGACTTTCTCTTGTTTTTCTAGGTGCTTGAGGTGCAGCATGGGATCATTTATTTGGGCTTCTTTTGTTTTTGTAATGTGTAAATTTACTACTATAAATTTTCCTTTTAAGACATCTTTCATTGTATCCCACTGGTTTCGGTAAGTTATTTCTTCATTTCTGTTTGATTGTAATTTTTTTTTTTAATTTCTTCTTTAGTTTCTTCTGTGACCCACTTGTTGTTTAGGAAGTTGTTATTTAATTTCCATGTGTTTATGATGTCTTTGTCATTTTTTTGTCAGTAATTTCCAATTTCATTACAGTATGGTCAGATAGTATGCATGGGATAATTTCAATTCCTTTGCATTTACTTAAGAATGTTCTCTGTGTTATTATATGGTCTATTATGGAGAATGTTCATGTGTAACAGAAAACACACAAGAATGTGTCTTCTGTTGTTACTTGTTACAGGTCTACCAAGTCAATTTCTTCCCAAGTTTCATTTAGAAATGTTACTTCTTTTCTGATTTTTTTGCCTAGTTGATCTATATCTTTGTGACAGTGCCTTGTTAAAGTCTCCTATTACAAGTGTATTATTGCTCATTTGATTTTTCATATCTGTTAAAATTTGTCTTATGTAGGTCTCATCAAGGTTCTCACTACTAGTGGGGGTGATTGAGTGATACTGAACAAAGCTTCAGTGTAGGTGGTGGGTTTAGGCCAGATTCACCAGGATCCCATGAACACCAAGAATCTTCCTAAGTTTTTAAAGGGTTGGAACAGTGCCAGCACAAGCTCACACAGCTCCTGTACACTGGGGCCAATGGATGTAGCTCATCAGAGTCCCATGGGCTACCCAGAGTCCTCATAAGTGCTTAAATGGATGGACCATGTGCCAGGAAATATCCGAGCCTGTGCATGCTGGGCCCACAGATCGCAGCACTCTAGAGTCCTGCAGGCCACTCAGAATCCTCCTAAGTTCTTGGACCAGCACCAGCACAAGCTCCAAGCCTGCGTGCTAGGGCTAAGGGTCAGAGCTTGCCAGAGTTCTGCAGGCATCCCAGAGTCCTCAAAAGTTCTTAGATGACACCAGGAAAGCTTCACACTTGCATGAACTGGGGCCACAAATCACAGCTCTCTAGAGTGCTGTGGGCCCCTCAGTTCTATGTATTGGACCTCACCCAAAATGAAGCAAGGAAAGAGTTAGCTCCCAGTTACTGGAGGTTTCAGTCCATATTCAGCTAGTTCCAAAGCAGAGTGGCACAGGGCAGACAGAATCCGTTCATGGCAGAGGCAAAGAACAAGAGAGAGCAAATGGGAGGAGTAGTGGCAACAGAGAGGAAGTCTGTCTTTCTCTCTTATGCTACATTCAGAGTATCCACCTCAAGCTTGGTGTAGCACTCATACCCACAGTCCTAGTAATACTGAGATCCATAATCCCAGTTGATTATGAGTTAATCTCAAACTCTAGAAGTCCCTGCCCCATGACTGCATGAGGCTTTGTGGGGAAAAACTAGACATTTAACACTATTAACTACCACATGTCCTCTAGTACTCTCTTTTGAACCTTTTACTCATCACCCCTTTTGTTTAATGGATAATGCTTATTATTAAGACAAAATTGGGAAAAGTCATAGGTTAATGAATATTACAAAAGAAATACACAATATAATTATTTCCTAGATCAGGAAATGGAACAGTACTGGGGCTGGTGAGATAGCTCAGTGGACTAAGGCACCTGCCTAGGCAAGTTTAGGCAAGCTCAGGAACAGCCAGAGTCAGGATGGACTGGGAGGATGAAAGCTGGAGGATCACCATGAGTCCAAGCTGTGTAGTGAGTCCAACCTGCAACAACCAAATACATTTAAAAAGAAAAAAGAAAGAAAGAAATGGAACAGTACTAATACTCCAGAAAACCTCTGCATGCCCTATTTATCAGCATCTTGTCCATTTTTTGTAGTGTTAACTACTTTTCTGTTCAAACTAGTAGTGTAGAGCATTCTTATAGATTCTTTAGCTGCATGGCTGTTCTTATGGGAATAAAATTAATGATTCATAGCGGATGCAGGTGAATTTGCTACCAAAAACTATTCTTAATTGGTTGTGCCAGTTCATACTGCCAGCAGCCTTGTTTACTAATGCCAGACCTAAAAAGATTTGATTGTTAGTGTATTTTTTTTCTGCCAATGTTGCTTTTCTCTTTACTTGTCTGGTGATGAATAATGTGTGCTTCTTTCAATATTAAGGTCTCTATATTGGTACTAATTTGTACCCAAAATGTTTTGCTTTCTTTGATATTTTGGTGTACTATGATCCACCCACACAAGGTAGCAGTTGTTTTTTACATACCTACATACCATTCATATTTGTATATTTATTTGTCATTTGAATGTCAATTCCTTTCTAACATGATGGTTGACCTTTTTTTTAGCCTTTTTTTTTTTGGATAATTTTCTTTGGTAATATATAATACATCATATATTCTGTATTACAAGCTGTTTACTACAAATGTATGTACCTTTCAAGCTCCATATCTTAAGCATTGTGTGCTTTCTTTGTTACTTTATAAACAAAAAATCCTAATTCTATTAATATTTATTACAGTTTTTTTCTTTAAATTTTGAACTTTAAAATGTAAAAGCATTTCCTACTAAGTCCATAATTTTAACAGTGATTATTTAACAAACCTTACAGAAGAGGTTTCTGGCTTCCATGAGAATATAAAATCTCTGGATGTGGGCCAGGTCTGTATTACCTACTTAAACCAGGATGTTATGCATTTCATTCAGTCCTCACTTGCACAAGTCCCCTTGCAGTTAAGCATGATCAGTAAGTCACTTCCAAACACAGTATTTCCGTGTACAAAGCTTGTTCATGATCTAGATGTAGCACCTATAATGTGGTTTGCCAGTATGAGGAGGAGCATAAAAATGGTAACCTGTTTTCAATGTGAGTTTGTATGCTGCTTCTGTCTTTGTGCTTTTCTGTCATAAGTTTTGATATATCTGTAATAATGTCTCAATTTTAGTTTCAAACTTTCAGGATTTATGCCTTTGGACTGCTTCGATTTTTTTGCCTGGCATAAGAGATTGGCTCTTGTTTCAATATCTTCATTGAATTCATTGGTCATTTTAATAGTCTGATTATTTTCTATTTTTTTTTTAGCATTTCTTCCACTTCTTTGTCTATGAACTCAGTTATTAGGAAGTTATGGACTTTGGTTGTATCTTTTATTTTCTTACATCTGTACATCTATTGGGATGACTCTTCCCCATTATTGTGTGGAGATACATAGTGAGCATCTTTCCCTCTGCTGTACTCTGGTGTGGATGTGTCAAAGTACCCACTGAGGATGTTTGAAGTACTAGGTTCAGTCTTCAGCTCTGCTTTAGTATGACATGTAAAAGCAAACCATATAGTGATATATTTAAAATTTAATTAAAATGGATCTGTATAATTCCATTAAACCACAAAAAGATAGGGAAAATTAATATAGACTGCTCTAAAAAGTTACATATATTTAGCTAGACTAAAGAATATGAGAAAAGATGAAAGAGGAATAAAAATAAAGAGATGAGAAAAATCCAGTTAGCATAATAAAATGTATAAAATTGCTTAAGCATATGAAAAATTACTGGGGTAAAATACAACAGGGAACACAGTAGAAGCAAAAGCAGAAGCTAATAAAAACAAAACTAAGATGTATTGCTTGCTGATGCATTAAAAATACAGACATTTCTTTTTTGTGCTTCTACTATTAAAAACCACCCTTTTTTAGAAAGGAAGTGAAACACTTCTGTGCAGAATGTTCTTTCTTGGCTTATGTGAAAGTAGGCCAAGCCATCATATGCAGCACTTCTTCACTGCAGGTGAATGCTAAGGTAAAGTTGACAGCATTGGTGCTAGTGTTGGTGTCATGTACTCTAGATGTCCCTACATGGGCCAGAGTTTGCTGTGTCCATCAAGTCTGCATTTGAGTAGGAAAAGATGGGTACCAAGCTTTCTACAAGTTCCAGTCCAAATACTCTGGACCCAAACCTCCATAAATCTATTCAGCTCATCTTCCTCCCTGACACAAGTCAAAATATACTTTATTTTAAAATAATAGAAAAATGCTTAACTGTAGTTTTCTTCTGCTAGTTGCTGACAACCAGTTGGCGCAATGTGTTTCCTGTCAAATACTAGCCCATGCTTCACTTGAATTAATATGTTTTATGTTGTTGAAAATGTTAATTTTGTTTTTGAACCCAATAATAATGGTTCTGAAATGTCTTCATAGGGGCTGGGGAGATGGCTCAGTAGCACATGGGCCTGAGTTCAATCCCAGTTTTGCAAAAAAAAGCGTTCATATTTGGAAAAATATATTTGTGAAAGCTTCTGAAATAATGGGGGAGGACATCATTATTTGTCATGCTGTATGAAGGCTAACTAAATATGGCATGAGAGGACACAGATCATAAGAGGCATGCACACATTGAACTTCAAATATAATTGATGGTTTTTCAGGAGTAGATTAAGGTTCTGCTTCACTTCATCTTCTCATTTTTTGTTGGTATTGTTTTTGACCATGAATATCACAGCAGTGTTAATGTTCCATCTCTGTGTTAATGTTCCATTGACACCTGATAAAACTTTTTTCATTTATAGCTGATTTGATCTATTTCCCTTGGTTAAAATGCTGTCCATCACAATTTTCACTATAAAATCACTAGATATCTTGGTGATATTTCCTGGTACTTATATTTTAGGAACTGTTGACATTCAGAGATGTGGCCATTGATTTTTCTTCAGAAGAATGGGAATGCCTGGACCCTGCAGAGCAGAAACTGTATACAGAAGTGATGCTAGAGAATTACAGCAACCTGGTCTTCCTTGGTGAGGATAATTTCCCCATAGAGTGCCTAATTCAAAATGGTTATTTGATTTTCTTTCTTGTTTTTGAAGCTCTCATGAGAACTTCCAATTTGCATCTAATTTGCTTTTGATGAAAAAATGAAGGTTTCTTGGTATAAACAAGTGAATTTTCATGACTTTTTTGTGTCCTTCCTATTTGAAATAGTATATATCCTTTAGTTTATATTTGTAGGAAATTTAGATACTGAGTGGCATAAAATATTGTTGCCTATAATGGAAATGTGTTTCTCTCTCATAGTGTTAATATCGTATAGATCAAAGTGACACTCAGAGTCTATAAATCAGAAACGCTTCCTATATAATTGAGTGGTGGTCTAATACAATAGTTAAAAAACCGTTTTAAGAAATAATGTTATAAAGTCTTCTAGGTGGAGGGAGTATCTAAATCGAGTGTAATGTTCCCTTTTCCAATTAATAGGTCTAAATGTCTCTAAACCAAAACTGATTGCCTTTCTGGAGCAAAAGAAAGATGATTGTATTCTAAAGAGTAAAGGGACAGCAGCCATTCATCCAGGTATGTAGGAATTAACAAATCAGAGGAAACAAGTGAGAGTCTCATATAGCTCCAGGAAGAAGCAGGCTTCAATATGTGAATTAAGAAGGAAGTGATTTTTCAGAAGCTGAGGTTACCTCCCATGTGGTTATATTCTTAAATCCTTCTAGTCTTTTTCTACCCTGCTGGTGATCTCCCCTCCATTTTTTCCATGACAAAGACCTTGCTTTTTTTTAACCTGTGAACGTCTGCATGATCTGTCATTTCTTAATGCTTTGATGTTAATCAAATATAATATATTCATTACATCAGAAAAAATTTCCTTCACACAGTTGAGCATTCTTTATTTATTAAAATTTTTTTCAAAAGTGTACTTTATGAATGATCATAATGGTTATTAGGTGAAAATTCATATCACATATGCCAAATATCAGTGAAATAAAATGCCTGGTCATTACATGTTATCACAAATGCCATTATGAAGAATAATGTTTAAATAATGTATTTAATGGTGTGCTCTATTATCCTACTCGAGTATTCCACTTTTTGTGATAGTGACTGGAATAATTATTATTTTCGTTTTTTCAGGTATGACTTCTTCTCCTAACCAAGGATTTTCATCGGAGAGAGAGGTACATTATTCCTTCCATAAAGTGGCAAATCAAAGAAACAAAAATTGTGGGCACAGAAATTCACAGCTTAAAAAAGAATGGAAATTTGTTCATAAGTATGAAGATGCAAAATCATTTTGTAATGGACATAACCAGTGGGGAACAGCAAGAAGCAACAGAAACTTCACTGTTGACAGTGACCAAAAATGTGTAACATCTACAAAAATACCTGAATTTATTCCACTTATTTGCAGTGATCCATATGATTCCCTAAGTAAACATTCACATCAAATTATGAAAGATAACTTTTCTTGCAAAGAAAATTTTAAAGAGCTAAACATGTGTTTAGTCTGTGATTCACTCAGTTACTTGAAAAAATTCAAATTCTTTGATGTTGGATTACATTTTCTTTCAAATATTTCTGTAGACAAAAGACTTAACAAAGACAAACACAATTCTAGATGTGATCATTTAGAGATTCCCTCTATGAGAAATACATTATGTTTTGATCACGAAATAGATCTTTCTTCTACCACAATAAATCATTTTGACAAATACGGAATATTACTTGCTCATCCATCAATGCTTAATCAAAATCCAGATACAGATATTTGGAAAACTCTTAATAAACATAATGAACAAGAGAAGGTCTTTAGTAAAGGCTCTAGCCAACAAAATTACCAGGATATTTATAGTGGACAGAAAATTTGTGACTGTAATAAAATTCATGAAAACTTTGCACCTGGCTCAAATTCTAGTAAACATCAGTATATTAATTTTCTGCAGAATATTTATAAATGTGAGAAATGTGGAGAAGTCTTTGATCAGTACTCAAAACTTGCTGTCCCTCAATGTATCCATATTCAACACCAGACAGCAGATACTGTAGATGAGCATTTCAGATGTAGAGGCTGTGACAAAGTCCTTTCCAAAACTTCAGCTTTTACTCAACACCAGAATATTGAAACTGAAGAGAAACCCTACATATATACTTATTATTGCAGAGATTTTAATCAAAATGCAACTCCTATTCAACACAAGAAAATTAAGCGAAGAGAGAGTCCTTACAAATGTAAAATTTGTGGCAGAACCTTTAGATTTTGCTCAACTCTTACTCAACACCAGTTAATTCATACGGGAGAGAAACCCTACAAATGTAAAGAATGTAACAAAGCCTTTAATCAAAGTTCTAATCTTACCCGACATCAGAGAATCCATACTGCAGATAAACCCTATGAATGTAAAGAGTGTGGCAAATTCTTTAAATATCGCTCAACTCTCACTGAACATCTGCGAATTCATGCTGGAGAGAAGCCCTTTAAATGTAAAGAATGTAGGAAAGCCTTTCATCAAAGCTCAAATCTTACTAGACACCAGAGAATTCATACTGGAGAGAAACCCTACAAATGTAAAGAATGTGGCAAAGCATTTGCTGGAAGTTCAAATCTTACTTTACATGCAAGAAGACACACTGGAGAGAGACCTTACAAATGTGAAGAATGTGGCAAAGCATTTCATCAAAGCTCAGCCTTTGCTCAACACCAAAGAACTCATACTAAAAAGAAACCACACAAATGTAAATACTATGACAAAGTTTTTGATAGAAGCTCTACAGTTACTGAACGCCAGATAATTCATACTAGAAAGAAACCATACAATGAAAAGAATGTGGCAAATCCTTTGAATGAACCTCACATCTTACTCAGAACCCAATAATATGTTGGAGAAAAAATCTACAAATTTAAAAAAAAAAAAAAAATGTGGCATATAATCAGATCAAAGCTTAACCCTTATGGAACACTAAAGAATTTATAGAAGAGAGAAGCCTTAAAAATGTAATGTCACAAAGCATTTACCCAGGATTCAAATCTGAGACAACATCACCTTATTCCTGTTGGATAAAAATCTCATCAAGTTAAAACTCTTTCTTTCTGAAAAATTTACACTGTAAAGAAAACCTCAAATGTAAAGATTATATCAGATTATTTCATCAAAATTTAAAGCTTTTTGTACTCCTTGTCTGTTAAATAGTCTCAGATTTGAAAACTGGGTAACAAAACACTTGGAAATTGGTCATTGTATCATAAAATCTGATTTTGGCCAATTATTAAAGTGGTTTTTTAAAAAGAACATGTAAATTTTGAGTTACTGTCTTTAAATTTTTTAGTGAATAAAGGAATGGTTTATATGTTAACAGTGTTGAGTAGTGAATGATGTTATTGTACCAAGACATTAAACTCTTCCATCTTTCCTTTTTTGGTGGAACCGGGGGTTGAACTCAGGCCCTTGTACTTGCCAGGCAAGCACTTATTCTACTGAGCTATCTCCCTGGCCCCAAACTCTTCTATCTTATTCAAGTTTTTAGGAATCAGATGGTGACAATATACTACTGGGCAAAATGAAGAATGACATTTCTAGTAATCCTCTTCCTAGCCATTGAACTTGAGATAATTTGGATACCAATATTTTCATTAGTCATAGTTTTACTTAAGACCCCCAATACCCATTGCTGCCACCATGGCTGCTCCATACTTCTGTAATTTTAACATTCTCCCTTCTTAAGACGTCTCTCCCCTGCTGTGGATGCTTCCTAGTCTCACTTTCTCCCCTCAGTCCTTGGGACAAAGATAGTCTGTGCCTACTTTCCATGTTTTTATACCCAGCGCCAATCATGAACACTTCTAGAACGGCTGATTTCCCTTCGTACTCAATCAGTTGAGATGACAACTGCCTTGGTCACTGACCCCCTTTTCTATTACAGTCCTGAGTCCCGACTAAATGTCTACTGTGGATCGTGTTGTTGCACTCATATTGTCACTCAGTCATGAGAATTACATCTCTGCTCTCCATGGGATACATTCCTTCTTTTATTCTTCGTTCCTCTTCCCTTGCCTGTCAAAATTTCTGAACCTTCTTTATCTCTACCCCAATCTGAAGCCGAGATGTCCAGTATTCTGCAACACCACATGGCCACACTACAAACTGGACAAGAGTTCATGCTGGTGAGAAAATGGTAATGATAGATGTGTTCTTTGGGACTTAGACAACTATAGCCAGAGATTAAGCAAACGGTCCAAATTGGCCTTCAGGCATCTTTACACTGCAAATTTCTCACTTTGTGTGGCTCGTAGGAATCCTCACAGGTCCTTTCCGTTTATTCTCTACCCCTCTACCAGATTCATACTTTTCTGTTATAAGAGACCCATTTGACCTATCCCCTGACAGGTCGCTACACCTGCAGGCACAACTACTCTTTGCCTCACACAGCATCTTCCATTTCCAGTCAGTCCCAGGTAATCTCTCTGCCACTGCTTTCCTTGGCAAACCTATCTCTTTGAGACTTCCCTTCAACTATAATCCTCTGTACAATGCAACTGACCCCACTCCACCCTATACCAAATCTTGCAGTTTGGCCCCCAAAACCTTATTCCTGCCCTGCCTCCCAGTTCCCACCCTGTGAGGTGGCAGGAGCCAAGAGAATAATTGGAATTCATAACCCTTTCTCCCTGACAGACCTCTCAAATTAGTATCTGGACTCTGATACCATCCATTATATACAAGCATTCAACTTGCCTTGATCATATAATCTCACCTAGGCAGATTTAAATGTTATCCTTAGCTCCATTCTCTTCCCTAGACAAATGGGAATGAATCTCCCTGGCCTAGTTTTATGCAAATGAATGCAGACTCTTTCAGGCTGATCTTCCTTGCAGTGGGTACTGTAGCTGTTCTCCAGGAAAACCCAAATTGGGAACTGTCAGCCAGGAGCCCATAATATAGCCAATCAAGACTGCATAGTCTCCTTATTCATAGACTTCTCAGTGTGACCCATATCGCAGTTAATTTTGATAAGATCAAAGAGACCTCTAAGAACAGGGATAAAAGCCTGATTCAGCTTATGGCTTACCTGGTCACTGACTGGGCAATTCACCATATTTGACCAAGGACAGCTAGAAGGACAGCTTATCGTAAAGGTTCGTTGCTGTGTCTACCACTCATTAATCTGTCCTGGATTTAAAAGACGCCTTTTTCACTATTCCCTTGCATGCTCTTGTAGCCTCTCTTTGCCTTCATCTAGACAGACCCTGATACTGGGCTAGCCTTAACCTGGACTGTTGCCTTAAGGCTTCCAGCACAACCCTACTATGTCAGTCAGACCCTCATATGTTTTACTTTCTTTTCATCCCTCCTCACCTCATACAGTATTTAGATGACCTCATTCTGTGTAGCCCATCCTATGTTCTCCAACCATCACCAGACATTCATTTAAAAAAAAAAAAAAAAAAAAACTGGAGGCTGGCCCTCAGACCTCACAGCATGGGTTAATTACTTTGGCTTTTAATGTTTTTACTATCAGAGATAAAAGTGGTTGCAAGTAGTGCATTTCTGAACTGCTGTTGTTAGTCTTCACTATAAGAAACCCTCACTGAACACCCAGGTAATGGCCAAAAGTGCTTATAAGGCCTCATGAAGGTGCATGGGTACACCTTCAGGGCCATACTTCAAGTTCTACCAATTAAATCATTGGGCCAAGGAATGTCCACAGCCCAGGATTCTTTCAAATCTTTGCCCTTCATGTTAGGACCTGCATAGACTGCCCCCTGTGAGCATCAGCCCCTGGAACTAATGCCACATGGAAGCTTTAGAGGCCCCCTGGAACATCTCAGATGCCAGACTCAGTAACTCTTACAGTGGAGAGGGAGTTTATCCTAGTCCTGATCAACAGTGGGACCACTCCATTGCCTTCCTTCCAGATACCAACCTCAATGCAGTTACTATTGTGGGCACTGATGCCAATGTGTGAAGACCTTTAATTCCCCCACAGTCATCCATACCTGTCCCATAACGCTTTTAGGCTGAGACATCTTAGGTATGTCTTTTTTTAATGAGCAGAAATAGTTGTCAGCTACTCTGACCATTCTTGACATATGCCTGTCCTTTAAATAGCCATCCTAATGACTCTCTGTGCTGCCCACAGCTTCCATCAGTTCCTCCACTGCAAACCTGAGTCTGGGACCCTTCTAATATATCCCTAGCTTTATTCCTACAAATACTTAACATCCTTCTTGACCCATCTGGCACCCAACTCCAGCCATCAAATAACAGTTTGTTTCCTTTTTCAACGTCATGGGATACTTCTGCCTTGGGGTTCCTGGCTTTGCCCTTCTCACAAAACACCTGTGCAAACTTGTAGTGGGAGACTGCACTGAGACCTTAGTTCACAAGATCTTCTCTTTTTCATCCCTTCTGCCTTAAAAGAGGCCCTAAAAACAATCCCTTCCTTACCCCTTCCAGACCATCCAACACTTTGATCTTCACACAACTGTACACAGTGGATGTACAGAAGTTCTATAACAGGATCCAAGCCTGGTCCCTTACCCTGCCCAGTGACAGTACCTGATTCCTGATCTGGCTTTAGGTCTATGAATTCATTCCTGTTTGACAAGGTCTTTTAATTTCTATCAATTCCCTTTATCGTACCTCTGTTGTCCTTGAGAGAAAGATAGATGGCTCCTGCAGGCTGGTACAAGATATCCATGCTAAAATCCTTCCTATATACCCTGTAGTACCTAGCTTTTACACACATTTGTCCTCCATTGCTCTATCTACACTCATTAATCTGTCCTGGATTTAAAAGATGGTTTTTTCACTATTACTTTGCACCCACTCCTTGCAGCATCTCTTGCCTTCATCTAGACAGATCCTGACACTGGGCCAGCAGTTAATCTAGACTGTCTTGCCTCAGGGTTTCCAGCACAACCCTACTATGTCAGACCCTCACATATGATTTACTTTCTTTTCCTCCCTCACCTTATACAGTATTTCGATGACCTCATTCTGTGTAGAACATCTTATGAGTTATCTCATAATGAGATACATTTTAATTCAACATCTAGATTCAAAGGAATATCATGTCTCCCCCACTAAAGACCTAAATCTCTTTGTCCATCAGCTATCTGGGCATCATTAGTCACAAATGCACCAGAAACGTACCTCCAGACTGTGTGCACCTGATATCTTAGAACCCAATTCCTACTACCAAATAACAATCTTTTCCTTTCTTGGCATAACAGGATATTTTTAGCTCTGAGTTCCTGCATTTCCCTTTCTCGCAAAACCCCTCTATAAACTTGCAGTGGGAGACCGCACTGAGCCCTTCATTCAAAAACTTTCTCTTAGGGGCCGGGGAGTGGCTCGGGAATAAGCGCTTCTCTGGCAAGCTCAAGGGCCTGAGTTCAATCCCTGGTTCC